AACAGTCGAGAGCATTTCGGGCATGAACAAGAATATGAGGCTCGAGTATGGAGAGCGATAGAGCTTTAAAGCCGAGATGCAGTGACGAAACCACTAGTACAATTACTTGGATAAAGATGGAGGGCATGAAGCGAGCCAGACATACATAGAAAAATAAGCAGTAACAGGCAAATAAGTTGTTCAATTTCGTGCATGTCCTCTTTCTAGTATATTTAGTATCATAGATAGGGCGCAAGAGTAAAGTCGCCAACCACTTGTTGTTTTTAGCATATCAATAAGTGCATGTATACATATATATATCATGGCTTATTCAGAGATATTGCATGACTCCTCTCCATTCTCTCCATGTGCGAGTCATATTTCTCTCAATGTGCGAGTCTTATCCTGTTTTCTGAAGAATGCCGCTAGCTCGATGCTAGAAGGCACAATGTTGTGTACGTGTGCCTAGATGCTTCTTCCAACTGGCTCTGGCTGCTCTGAGTGCCGAAAACATGCAGCGACGCGGACCATAGTTGCCATGTGCTTTCATGTCGCAAATTATGAGGAACACAGGCAGGGGAAAGTGGCAGCTTCTTTGGAAGGACAAATCCTACCATTTTATTGTTTGTATTGAGTCAGAATGGTGTGTCTTTTTAAGACCTGAAATGAGGGGCTAAAAATGCACGCTATCTAGTGCTTCGGAAGTCTTATTTGCCACTACAGCCAGCGAGGTATATTCAAAAGTCGAAATTATAATTTTCTTTCTGCACTCGGCAAAAGTCCAAGGAGTTTCTACTCTGTGTTTCCCTACCACACATCTAAGGGAATCAAGCACACACTCGCAATTTCCGTAGCGTCCCGTACTCTCCTAGGGCACTGCCCTACCGCATCAGACAGCAATACTGGGGTAACTAAAGCAACCTGCTTTACCAATATCACAGGATAAGAATACCGGTAAATAGCCAAATGCTGCAATTTGAAGGATAATTCTGGCCGCCAAAAACAAATCGGGGGCTGGATTCAAAAAAAGATTGTGCGGAGTTGAGGATGCATTCAAGTATCAGTGTTACTCACGTGGTTCAGCCAGAGTGCATAGTCACTTATGAACATGGAGGGACAGAGGCAACCGACGACTAGTCCCATGATTATGCCAAAGATAACTGGGTATTGTTGCTTTGTGGCATGGTTGAAGTTCATCTGTTCCAGGAGGAGTAACTGCACCCCTCTAGTAACGGTTGTTGGAGTCTTGATCTGCGACCGAGTAGATTGCTCCCCCGATGCCAATACGGTACTTCAGCAGTGTAAAGCAACAATTGGCAATGCTTGATTTCACAGTCAAGTGAAATATAAGGATTTAGAATAGTTTCATTTCGTACATTTGTTCACGCAATGATGACAATTATCGGGCAGTTGACGGGAGCTCGTGATTTGCTTGAAGCAATGTACGCTGACTCGCCATTGTGCCTCGCGATTCAACATCCTCATTTTATAGTTTGGTTTGTGCGCAAATAACATTATATTTGTGGCTGCTAAGCTTTCTATGCCATCTATTGTTCACCATCCCATGATTTTATAGGCGTCACCATTCCCACAAACCGCAGGAGCGGGTGGAACTTGCGCGTCTGTATGTGCAATAACCCCCAGCTACCCCAACTTTACTAGCCACTTACCCCTCCTTTTTTCTCTTCAAGGACACACCGTAGCTATATCGTTCACTGTCCTAAAGCAGCTAAACAGCTGCTTCCTTGCTGACGTAAAGTCCCCGAGTAGCCATCTGTCGAGCAGGCGAGTAAGGCCCCTGCCGCCGAGACACCGCCACTACCTTTCCACACAATGTATTTCCGGATTCTGCACTCTTCTACTGTGTGGTTGGCACTTGTATGCACTCACTCAATATACCAAGCTGCTTCTATCACTCAACATAAAATCACGAGTGCTCGTTTGGACGCCAGTAGTGCGGTCGCCTCCGAACTCCTTTTTAAAGACCCCATGCAGGATGGGCTGGCGGTGGATGGCATTACCCTGAATCAGCACGATAACAGTGCTTTCCTGCAAATGAACGAGGAAGAGTTTGGGAGTATTGATAGGAGGATGAAGCCATGTTTTCAGTCAAAGGACGGACAAGCCTGCGGCGGAAGAGTATCAGAAGCAGACTACCCAGGGGGGTTGCACTGCCCTGCTGGATTTTGTTGTAGTAAAACGGCGACGCAGAATCAGTCTTCTGGCAACTGGTGCTCTAGCAGCTGGGCCTCCTGCTGGAGTTCTTTGGCTTACAACCCGAAGTATTCTTATGGTACTTGCACATGCCAGAACTACGAGATCAGGTGCCCGGAGGATTCGACATGTGTTGATACATCCTATGGGCCTTACTGCAAATGTTTGGATGGCAAGGAAGAAGTTGAGGGTGCTTGTCATAACACCACAACTACTACAACTACCACTACTACTACTCCCGAGAAAGCTGAATGCCGAGCTGACGATTGCAGGCCTGGATTCTGTGACGCTGAGCGGGGTAAAGTCGTCTGTACCTGCTTGGGAGGATATATTTCAAGAAAGCTTCATGAAATCAGAGAGCAATGTGTCTTTGTGTATTAGCCTTATTAGATGGGTGCACATGTCACGCATCTTGTGCACGTGCTACGCTTCCAGAAGAGCAATTTATTGTGCACATTGAAAGTGATGGCTCCA